AAAAAAAACACGAGGGAGTCTTTGAACACCATCAAGTCCACTTCTCAGGGTTTCACTAAACAAAAAAGGACAGATGGAAAGATCAACTAACATCAAAAAGGGCCTGACAGTCCTAGAACAAAAAAAAAGCTTCCAACTGGGTTTAAATCCACAAGTTTCAAAATCTGGAGATTAATTGCTGTCATCAAAAAGAAATCTCACAATGCTCTCTAGGAACTGGCTTACGGCAGAAAACAGAACGTTCAGGTACTACGATGTGAATGGTTTCAAATCAGGCGATTCAAGGTACCCTCACACTTATACTCAGCCATCAAGTTATTCTGTAACGTCGAATGTTGGGAGTAAAGCTAGATTTCCAGAACGTCTAAGCTATCAAGTACCTAATGATGACAGATGCCGTATAAACCTAAGATGGGAAAAAGAGATGGCACTAGATGACATGTCATGTGAGAATCCACTAACCGCCCACACACTTGGCTTGGATCACCACCGGCTAGCTGCAAGAGAACGGGAAGAGGACAAAATAAGTGAACTCTTCTATCTACCTTTGCTCGTTGCTAGAGAAAAAGTGGATGAGAGAGTTCATTTTTTATCACAGGTGTCAGCTATGTACCGAGGTAATTCCACTGACAGCCAGAAAACCTCGATAGCCAGAGAGAGCAAGGCACTGTTTTTTATTTTTAAAACAAAGTACTGCCTTTTTCTTCATCAAAGGAAAATTCCACATTGCTCCCGATTAGACCTAAAGAAAGCATCCGCCACCAGTCTCTCATGGGGTAAGAGGCAACTTGTGCTACAAGACAGATGGCCCCCGGAGAGCACAGCTCTGCCCTCGGGAACTGCAACTCTGCGGTCCTATGTTCTTTTTCTTCATTCTGTATTCTGTTGTTGTTGAGAATATGCACAGAGCATACAGCGATCCAACGGTTTCTCTGTGTCCCACTCAGTGGCACTGATGAGTCTGCCAGTTGTGTGGCCATCCTCACCCTCCTTTTCTGAGCTGTTCCTCCCCCATTAACATAAACTCCCTGTCCCCTAAGGTTCCTATCTAATCTTTCAAGTTGCTGCCAATTTAATCCCATGTAGCTAGATCTCAAAAGAGCCTAATGCTTACCTAGTTAAGCTCAGCTACTTTTTGGTTTTAAGAACATTTGAGGGAGTATTTTTGGTTTACAGTTTAAACACTATCCCAGGGCAATAGTTTCAGGAGTTCATTCAGCCTCCATGGCTCCAGACAGTCTGGATTCCATGAGAATTTGAAGTTCTGTTCTCTTTTTGCCCTGTTGTAATCAGGACTCTTTGATCAAAATGTTCAGTAATGGTAGTGGGCACCATCCCATTTTTCTGGGTCTTGTGGCAAAGGAGGCAGTTGTTCCTGGAGGCAATTAGCCACACATTCCACATCCTCCTCCTCCTCCTGATTCCTTTCTCTGTTGCTCCAGGCAAATAGAAACCAATTGTTGAGCCTTGGATGGCTGCTTACAAGCTTTTAAGACTCAGGCATGACACAACAAACTAGGAGATAGAACAGAAACACTAGCATATCATTCAGCCAATTCCCTGGGTTGTCCTGTGAAACCGTGTGCAGTCAAACGTTCTTAAGTTACAGCCTAAATACACAAAAGGGCCTGTCTGTCCTTCGTGCTAGATCTTAAGCTTCTTAAGACGTTAAGGACGTTCTCCTTTAGTCACAGAATCCTGAGAGCCCAACAAGCTGCTGAAGGTACTCCGACATCAACAATGGGCAACTAAGCTAAGTGTCTTTTCTACTCAAACTAGGGGCTAGTTTGGGTTTCACTTCTGTTACTATATGAAAATCGAGACTTCATAATACAAACAGAAGCTGCGTATTTTTTCCTTGGAAGAAGGATTTAAAAGCAGCTTCTGAAGTCTCTGAGACTCCCGCTCCCCTGGCTCATGGCAGCTGCACACAATGTGGTCCACGTAAAGGCTCATCCTAGCGAAGAGTGGCCAAAGGCTAGGGGGAGAGCTTGTCTGGCTTTCATGTCAAGGGACACAGACGCTGTCAGAGAGAACAGGGTTTGTACCCAAAGTGCCCTGGGCTGCTCCTGCTGCCGTATGGTGGCCCGTGACAATCTCCTGATTCTTCTAAAGGGACATGAGGCTTTTCCCCACCTTCGTTCTTTCTTCTCTAGTTCCTCATTCTGAACAGTTGTCAGGATTGAGTCTGCTGTGTGTGGCTAAGTGTGCCCTGTGTACACGACAGACGGACCGCGGTCCACACAGACCTCCAGCTCTGAGGCAGGGCTCTCGCCAAGCAGCATGTTAGCCTTTTGCAATCACACCCACACACGGGGACAAAGACAGACACTGGAGAGACACCTTCCCCTTAAGAAATTCAAACCATATTACTTGTGAAGTTCTGTTCTCATTGTCCCGTATTCTTTCCTTAACCAGTCGCACCAGGGACGCAATGTTGTAAAACTCCGCTTCTTCCAACACACCTGGAACAAGGACCAGACGGTGAGTGTGGTTAGAGATGTGTGAGCTCACCCGAGAAACGAGCACTAATTACAGCAACAAGATCCTGGGCTTGACGTGCCTGAGAAGGACGGCATTTTTCAGAACAAAGTCTAGGCTCCCCCGTCACCTTAACGAACATTTTTGTGCTGTTCAGGGTGTGCCTGTTACTTTTCTCCCAACACGTGACATAAGCACAAGGCCTGCTTGGTCACTCTGTCTCACCCCCACCGTTTCCGCCCTGCACCTGCCCCTAGCTGCAGGACACCATTCCCATATGTCACTTAGTTCCTAGAGCTAGTCACATTGGACATCTCCTGAATTTGCAATTTTACCCAAATTTTGGCCTAAAGAGACCTGGATGGAGGGCTGTGGGCCAGATTTAACCAGGTACTCATTACTGGAGCACTGTCAGAGACAGTCATGGAGAACCCCATTGTGAGCAGCAGCAAAAGGCCTTCGACAGAACAACTCCACATGATGTGTGACCACATACCAAGAAAAAGACTGGACAAAACTGAGATGTGAACTGTAGATCAAAGTGTTTATCAGTATCCGTTTCCTAAATTGGATAACAGTTCTGTGAGTATGTAAGAACATATCTTGGCAGATACACACTAAAGTAGCAGGGGAGAAGGGGTAGCCAAGCCACAATCTAGTCTCAAAGAGCTGAGAAATAACGTCTCTGTGAGCGGGAGCAGGGGACAAAGGGGGAGACAAGAATGAGCGAGAACACAAATGGGGCAGAAAAAAACAAAAACTGGTGAATCTGGGTAAAAGGAGCTCTTTGTCCTATTCTGGCCATTTTCTCTAAGTTTAAAATTATTTCAAATAATTTTTTTAAAGGCATTAGAAAAAGATGCTTAAGATTCCTCTTTTCAAGAAATATGATTGCCTGTGAGTTAGTAATTACTGAAGCTGATGGTGAGATGGTGGGTGCATGGGATTTACTGTACAATTCCCTCTACTTTTTTAAGTATGTAAAAATTTCCATCATGAAGTGTCAAGAAAAAAGGGCATTAAAAAAGGAGACCCCCACTTTCCACTGGCTGAGACACCACTTGGTAGTGGCTGCACGGCCACTGTGGCTTCCTGCCTCGGAGGCAGTGGCGCTCGGCTCAGGGCAGGTCCCAGTCTTCAAACAATGCTGCTGGTGAGACCCACTTCCAGTCCAGATGCCCTATAAACCGAAAACATGAAGTGACGACATGTACCTGACAATGAACTGGAGGATAAACTAGGTCAGGTGCAAAAATGTGCAGGGAGGCATGAGACCAGAGCCTTGAAAGAAACGAGGCCAGGTCTTCATTTTTTCTCCGAGGCTGCGAGTTCAAACTACAGTTGAAAATATAAATAACTGAATGTCAGACTGTGTTGTTGCTACAGGTGACGGGTATTCACGGCCAGCACGTAAATAAACGTAGAAAGGGATTCTGACGACCTGGACGCTCTCCACAGAGCAGAGCCGCCTGCTCTCCTGCTCACGAGGCAGGCCGTACGGAGAGCAACGGGTGCCCTCAGACAAAACACTCCAGGCGAGGACGGGTGGGGGGAGGCTTCCTGCTCACTCTCATGAACTCTTACTACACCTGTACATCAGCTCAATCAAATTTTAAAACGCACCCGAGATTCTCCCCGAATGTTGAAAATGCCCCATTCAAATATCGTTCTTACCTTCTTCTGCCAACTCCTTATTAATGATGAGTTTCCCATGTCGGAGGTAGTTTAGGATAGGGCCAAAGTAGGTGGGATCTCTGTCAATCAGATAGGCCCCTGTCTCATCCTGCCAACCAGACACCAAAATATCATTGTGGAGAGTTCAGGAGCTTTGCATCAAGTCAGAGCAGGCTTCCAACTTGGCTGTCAATGCCCCAAGACAATTCATTCCATCAAGTGTTTAGTGAGAGGGCACGTTCTAATAGATGTTTGCTTATCACAAACAATTGACAGGAAAGCTATGTATACTTTGTACTTTCAGATCATCTCAGGTACGTCTCAGGTATCTGTAAACTCTTTGAACTGGTCTGAACTTCTAAAACTGGACAATTACTAACATTCTTCTGTAGGACATTTGTTATAAAGGGAGGACCACGGCCTCCGTAAGCCTGAGGCCAGAAGAACTGGATGGTCCCCAGCTACCACTACCAACTGCTCTGACAGGGAGCACAGCAGAAGGGCCTAGAAAGTGGGAGCAAAATGAAGAACAAAATCCAAAACCATCAAAAAGACCAAACTTACTGGTCTGATAGAGACTGGTGGAACCCCCAAGACCATGGCCCTGAGACACTTTTCAACCTGGAACTGAACCCACTCCCAGAGAGCATCTTGCAAACAATAAACAGGCCCAGAAAGTGAACAATACACCCAGGAGGAACGTGCAACTCAGAACGAACAACCACAGGAGACCAAAAGGGCAGCGTTTGCCCCAAAACAAAGTTCAGAAGGCAGGAAAGATGGGTGTGAATGGAAACAGATCAGGGAGAAAGCTGCGAGAGTGCAGTTACACTGGAGGGACTACCACTAATGTCAAACCAAATGTGTAGACATTGTTGAATGGGAAACTAATTTGCTCTATAAACTTTCACCCACATTAAAATACAATGTTCCAAAAAAAGGAAGGCAAAGTCAAAGCTGTGACTTAAATATTTGCTCGAGGTGGACAATCTGACTTCTCCGTTGCCCCTGAAACACATGGCTAGTTCTAAGAAAACCTGTTTAGTTGGCAGTGCCCTGAGCTCAGGGCCAGAGCGTCTGCCAGCTGTAATCTCACACACCCCAGCTCTGCGCTCACAGGCACCTTGGCACCGCCAGGACTGGCTCTGAGCAGCTTTAATCCTATTCATCTTTACAGTAAAAGGACCAAGAAGAAAACTGGCTTATTCTTCAACAAGGAAGATTTAGGGTGTTTTTTTTTTCAATCCTTTATAAGCAATCATTTTGGAATCTCTTTAAAGTTAAGGTAAAACAGGTTTCCATTAATCTGAGATCCATTCAAGGGGCCAGGCAGGAGAGAACAGACGAAATCAGCAAATGCTTACAGAACCCCAGCTTGGTTACAAGCAAGGTAACTGGCTAGTACCTCTGGGATACACAATGTATGCCATGATCCGCGCCTTTAAGTTGGGAACCAAAAAATGAACGTGTGAAAAGTTAAAAATTCACACAGTACAGACTGGAAATGGGTGAAATGTCTTGTCACCTCTCAACCCTTTGGTTCGCAGCCACCCATCTTGCCACAGCATTCTTTGGTCTTCATTTTCCCTCGGTCTTAACTGGTCAACCTAGGTTGGCACTGGCAAATGGTAATTTGGAATGTATGTGACCTCATGTAGGGATCTGAAACAGTGACTGCTACCACATACAGGTTCTGGGGCCAGGCCCAGAGGGGAAATGGGGGCTATCAAAAGGACTTCCTGCAGCTGTCAAGTCATGGCAGCCCCAGGCTTTAAACCAACTTGGCAGAGGGGTCCAAAGGGGAAGTCTGAGAAAGCTACAAAGATGCCTCCGCTCGCCCTGACCCAGTTCTGGATGCATCTGGCACAAGCAGCGAGGGGCTGAGGACGAGCTAGGAAAAACCTCATGCACATCAGAGGGGCTGGAGTGAGGGGTGGAGAGAAAAATATGGAGATGGGGCGTGGGGTACGTTCACGTGGGTGCGGGTGGGCACAGTGTGCGGTGAGGAGTCGCTGAGAACCAAGGGCGGGGTCGGAGAGAGAGCCGGACTGCGCCAGAGAATGGGGGCAAACCAGGGGTCTTTCTGAGTCCCGGGGGCTAGGCTGGGGGCGGAGGGAGAGAGACCCCAGCCTGAAA